GATCACGAGAAACAACAAAACACACGTGATACCTGATCAGGATGTATTTTCGTGTGAGCCACCGGCAAAATCTGAAATAACAAAATGCTTATTAGTACATGACATTCTTTTTCTTGTTAAGAGCTTCACTTAAAACGTAACAAACTTCGGGTGGCCGCCAGTATTGCCGGATGGCGTGACCACGAGCAGCTTGGGAGTCACATCCGCTTTTGGGCCAGGGCCGGCACCGCCGACACTGCGGGGCTCGGGGACCGCTGCCCGATGTCGCGACAGCGCTGCGGGAGGGGCCGGGCCCACGGAAGCACCGGGCGGGCCGGGCAGGCACGGGCGCGACCCGGAAACCCGGGACCAGCTGCGGCCGCTCCAGCACTCCCTCCTTCCCTCCCTCCCTCCCTCCCGCCGCCGAGCGCTCACCATCACGGTGGCGATGATGGAGAGCAGCGCATCGCTGTAGGCCAGCAGCCGGTGCGACGTCTGGGTGCTGCAGCTGCCCGGCTCCAGCTCCAGCGCCCGGGCGCGCTCCGCAACCTGCGGAGCCGACATGGCCCCGGTGCGCCCCGCCCGCGGCGGCGGCGGGGGCGGTGCTTCCCCTCACGGCCCCGCGGAGGGGCGGGAGCTGCCGCCTCCTCTTCGGGTCCCGTACCGGGTCAGCGCTGCTCCTGGTGGTTACAAACATGCGTGAGAGAATGGCGATGTTGCTGAGTGTTCGGCGGCTGAAGAAGCGATCATCATCATCATCATCATCATCATCATCATCATGGCTAGGCTTCACGAACGAAGATTTGGGAAGGGCTCTACCCACGTTTGTTGCAAGCGCGTTGGTGGCTAAAAAGGCCAATACGAGATAGACATGTCCGGTTGCAAAAAGCACAGCAGAAAGACTCCTTAGGAGGTATATTCTACAAGGCTCGATTCTTTCTGCGTTGTCTTTTCTCCTCAAGAGTGATCCTGCGTGCTTTCTCAAAAGCATCAGCAGCGTTATAGATGGTGTGTCTCCAGGCCTCCCAGTTGGAGGCCAGAGTAGACCAGTTATGGTGATCAATATGGCCACAGCTGAGATGCTGTTTCAGGGAGTCCTTGTATCTTTTCTTTGGGGCTCCTCTCTTGCGGCAGCCGGTGGCAAGTTCACCATAAAGCAGGATCTTAGGGAGGCGGTGGTTGGTCCTTCATCCTGGAGACGTGCCCTGCCCATCGCAGCTGTGTTCTCAGCAACATGGCCTCAATACTTGTGATTGCTGCTTGTTCAAGAACAGATGTATTGGTCACATAATCTGACCAGTGAAGAAGCGATACTCTGCCTTTAAAAGGCCTTCCAGTTGATCTCTCCATTTTCCAATTGCAGCATCCCGAGTCCAGTGACACGGATGGTGTTTTCCACGCTCGGCCAAGGAAACATCAGTGGAAGAGGCAAAGGAACACATGACTCTTGGAGAACCAATTGATATTCCTCGAACAAGTTTCATTTTTAGAAAGGGAAAAGCATTGCCAGCAGGTCGAGGGAGGTGATCCTGCAGCTCCACTCAGCCCTGGTGAGGCACATCTGGAGTGCCCTGTCCAGTTCTGGGCTCCTCAGGACAAGAGGGACATGGAGCTCCTGGAGCGGGTCCAGCAGAGGGCTGTGAAGGTGATGAGGGGACTGGATCATCTCTCTTACGAGGAAAGGCTGAGGGAGCTGGACCTGTTCAGCCTCGAGAAGACATGACTGAGAGGGGCCTCATCAATGTATGTAAGTGTCTAAAGGGGGGGGATGTGCCAAGAGGATGGATACAGGCTCTTCTCAGTGGTGCTGAGCAATAGCACCAGGGGCAACAGTCAGAAACTGGAACACAGGGAATTTCCACACTATTTGTGCACCTGGGATCTCAGTGAACATAACCAGACTTATAGTGCCTAGTTGGTTATAATCAGAAATGAAGCCTAGTGACACCCAGCCCCTCTGATCTCCCAAGACCATAGAGTTTATTTTCTGCCATATTTCTATACTTTTGATGCAGGACTCAGAAAATATTGACTGTTCTTTGTAATTTTTTTTTCCTTTTACTTTCAGTCTTTTGGAGTATACGAGTACCCTACTGGGGAATATATGTTGAGTGAGAATATTGTATAAGACACAATCACAGAATACGTAAGGTTGGAAGGGACCACCAGAGGTCATCTGGTCCAACTCTCTGCTCAAACAGGGTCCCTTACAGCTTATTACTCAGGACTGTGTCCATAGGTTTACCTCCAGAGCAGAAGACTCCATGATCTCTACGGACAACCTGTTCCAGTGCTCAGTAACTTGCACAGTAAATGAGGTCTTCCTCATATTCAGGTGGGACTTCCTGTGCATCAGTTTCTGCCCATTGCCTCTCATCTTATTGCCAGCACCACTGAGAAGAGTCTGGATCCAACCTCTTGGCACCCACCCCCTTTAGATACTTATATACATAGATGAGGTTCCCTCTTAGTTGTCTCCTCTCCAGGCTGAACAGGCCTGGTTCCCCCAGCCTTTCCTCAAAAAAGAGAGACTCCAGTCCTCTCGTCATCTTTCTTGCCCTCTGCTAGACCAGTTCCAGGAGCGCCTTGTCTCTTGTACTGAGGAACCCAGAACTGGACACAGCACTGCAGATGTGGACTCACCAGGGCACAGCAGAGAGGGAAAATCAGCACCCTCGACCTGCTGGCCATGCTCTTCCTAATGCGCCCCAGGATCCCACTGGCCTTCTTGGCCACACGGACACACTGCTGGCTCATGGAGAGCTTGTTGTCTGCCAGGACCCTCAGGTCCTTCTCCACAGAGCTGCTTTCCAGCAGGTCAACCCCCAGCCTTTACTTGTGCCTGGGGTAATTCCTCCCCAGGTGCAGGACCCTTGCCTTTGTTGAACTTCAGACATTTCTGCTCTGATGATCCCTCCAGCCTGTCAAGGTCCTTTGGAAAGGCTGCATGATACCTCTTGGGTATTGGCAACTCCTCCCGGCTTTGTGTCATCATTGAACTTGCTGAGGAGGCATCTGCCCCTTTATCCAAGTCACTGATGAACAAATTAAACAGTACTGGGCCCAGTATTGAACCTTGGGGAACACCACTAGTGACAGGCCTGCAACTAGACCCTGTGCCACTGATCATGGTCCCCTGGGATCTGCTGTTCATTCACTTCTCAATTCACTTCACTGTCCACTTGTCCATCTTGCAATTCCTGAGCTTACTTGTCAGGGTATTGTTAGAGAAAGCCTTGCTGAAGTTAAGGTAGACAATATCCACTGCTGTCCCTTCATCCATTCAGGTGATTGTCCTATTGTAGAGGGCTATCAGGTTAGTTAAGCATGATTTCCTTTTAGTGAATCCATGCTGACTACTTCTACTTGTCAACCATGTAGATAGAAATGGCCTTCAGAATGAGCTGTTCTGTCACCTTTCCAGGCGTAACAGTAAAGCACAAGTGGTTTAGAATGTAGTGTAATAAGGATTAATGATTGGGTAGACTGAAATTACTGATATGAATGTTTTTCACTGCTTTGTATGAAGTGTTTTATGGAACATGTAACTTGAGTTTGAAGTGCATTTATTACACAGAATTTGAATACTTCCAGGCAGACAAATCTCTATATGACTAGTTTAGTTTTTTATTGTAGCATAATAAATTCTGATATGAAAGAAAGGCAACGAAATAGATGAGTTAATGGATTTCATAGGGCATTTCTGATAATCCTTAACTGTGGTTTAAAGTCTTCTCTTTATTGCTCTCCTCCACAAACACTTAAGCAACCATTGTCCTCTGGAGAACCGATGTTTTTCTGGTGTTACGTACAGAAAAATTTTGTTCCTAGGATTTAAAAAAAAAAAAAAGACGAAAAGGAGTGCAGATGGTCTCTTTCCTTCAACTAAGTCACCTCTTCATGTATCCCTTTCCAGAGGGCTGGTTTTCTCTGAGAGTGACAAGCCTCTTGCAGCACAGTAGCTACCACCTGAGTTACCACAGTTAGGATGTGCCTTCTCCAGGCATTGCAGCGGAGATACAATTTTGCTTTATTTTTTTGAGGGTTGGCTTTGTCTCTTTTGTTTAAGTGCCTTGTCTTCATTACTGCTTTTATTACTTCATATACCTCACTACTGGGAAGTGTCTTGAAGTGAAGGCATGCTGCTTCCTAGCACTGAAGACTTCTTTGCAGAATGAACACACATCTCTTGTGAGATGTTTGCTGCTGGTCCAGTAAGGAGTGTGGTTTGCTTGTGATGGCCAGTTGTAAAGCCTTCTGTTGTCACTGAAGTTTGTCCTGCATCTCAGTGCCACTCTTGCTGATGTTTAACATGCCTAGGTTATGGAGCAACATTTTCAGAAATGACATATGATTTAGAGAAGCTGAGCTCAACAAAATGTATTGCAGCAGCGTAGAGCTGCTCAGCAGCACAAGGGTTTTTAAGACTAGACGCACCTGTTGTGCCTAGGCAGCCTTTTGATACTGTGCTGCACTCAGGTGCTCAGGTGTGTTGTTACACTATGTTGCCTATGTATATGTATGAAATAAGCCAAAGGGAAATAGTGCTTCCAAATAGGCAGCGCTTCCTTGCTTAGTTTGGATACTTGAGTCTAGCTGTTCCCTACTAGTGTCTCTCCATCAAGGCAAATGGTAGGAGAAAAGAGGTTTGTAAAATGAATTGTGAGAGCCTCTCCATTAACAAGTTTAAGATTCATTGAGCTAGAGCATAGCTTTTAGTCTCAGAATTCAAGGTAGCTTATAATGAACCCACTGTCTTCATCCCTGTTTCTACAGAGCATGCTGTTTTGTTGCTCTACAACTCCTGACTTAGCCTCTGACATAAACAGTATTGTGGAAGAAGAGCACAATTCTTACCACCTGGAACTGTTATCAACATTTGTTCTCAGGTAAAGAGATTTCTGCACAGTTCGCTACTGCAGATGAGCACGATCTGTGGATACTGTGCCTAGTTGAAAACATCATTTGTCCCTACAAATTCAGATAACATCTCAGTGCTGAGATAACATCTCATCTTGAAGTGCTTTTTAGTTAGCAATTAAGAATGGAGGCTCAGGGAAGTGTGCAAAAGTAGGAGGTTAACCACACATAAGAGTCTTATGAAAGAAGTTTCTGTAGCAGTGCATAGAAAGCAGTAAAAGCCACACAGATCAGTCTTAACCGATTGAACCTCCGAGGAGCAAACAGGCAGGAGCAATTACGTCAGCTGTTTGCACAGGCTCATTAACCTTTCCACTTCTCCTTCTGCTTGTGCTTGTTCCGTAGTCCAGTTGCTTCAGGTCTTTCTCATTTACAAGCTTGTGAAAGATACAAAGACATGTCAATTCACACCACAAAAAAAGAAAAACGATTTCTTTTTACCTCAGAATCTGTTGCTGAAGGACATTCTGGTAAGTTAAAATTCTGATTATATCTTTGTTTTTATTAATACTTCTCAGTGAAGAATGCTATCTGATGAAAGTTCAGTCATATCTCTTGCAATGGAGAAATTAATGGAAAAACCCAATAGATTATTTTTAATAGATTTCAGATTAGTGTCTTTGTTTACTTGACTAGAATTTGTCCTATTTGTTTAGTATGCAATATAATCTGGTATAGATAACTTAAAAAAATTTTCTTGAGAAAAGCATGGATTGGTCTTGTACAGGTAGACTTGCGGCTGCCATGTATACTGGGATTACAATTTTACTTTTTATTCTGTAATGAAAAAAATAATACTTTATGCACATGTATATTATAGGTGGTCATTGAACTCCGAATTTCTGAAATGTTTGGAATAATAAGCATTAATTTTCATCAGAGCTCTATTCCAGTGACTGCTATAATACTGCACATGTCTATTTGTCACATTGCTCTCTCTAACACAAGTTTGCATATGGTGTAGGATGTACAAAACCATTGAATTTTCCAGGTCTGGAACTGCAGACAATGCTTCAGCTCTAATTGCTGTTCACTAAAATCAGCTATTTTTTGTACAGCTTTGTTTAAACCAATATGTACCTGGAAGCTATGTTAACTGAGGGACTGGAGGAAGTTTGGACCTCCAAGAGGCACAGTAATGACTCAAATTTACAGTAAGAGTAGTAACAGTTCCTTCTGTGTCAGTACCTTCATATGGAGCATTTTCATGTTTAGACTAAAAGAAGCATTACTTCTTACTTTTTTCACAGTAGAAGGAAAGACAAAGAAAAATAGTGAGAAAAAAAGTGTGGTGTCAAACATGGAACATTTGCGGACAAGTTTTTTTGTGTATCCATATTCTCAGGACTCTTACTCATTAGGTGGGAATGGTACAGCATGAAACCAGTTATACCAGCCTGTCTGCCTGACTCCTACTGAACTGTCCAACTGCAAGACCACTGCAGCATGTGATACCATATCTTGAAACACCACAACCACTTGTTTGCTTTAAAACAGTGCACTGGTTGTTGTAATTGTGTATGCAGCTGAAGGCAGTAAAACTTAACAGTTGTTGCAGGTTATGCCATTGCTGCTTGAGCATTGGACCCTTCGGTGTGGATCGATTTCACAGTCTTCAGAACTCAGTTTGTCTCAGGGTATCAAACTAGCCAGGCGGCAAACTTTGGAACCAGGATTTGCAATCTTTGAGTAAATGTGCTTGCAAGAAATTTCAGGAAGATAATGTTTAAGCTATGAAATCATGCAGCTTTACAGCTATCAAGTTGGTGTGGATTTTGTTCCTTTGTTCTGTTTTGCTTTTTTTTCAAGCCTCTAAATTATTGGACTTATTTTGCAAATGGTCAATAAGTGCACAGTGAAATGTGTACTTTCAGCTTGTTTGGGGAAAATGCTAGAAACAGAACATAAAAGACACAGAAGTTGCTGATTCGGGTTGTGAAAATTATGCCAGTGAAGAAGCAACCTCTACCCTTCCATAAAAAATCTCATGCTGACACTGAAGTCACTGTAGCCTGTATGAATAGAAGGGGCACATGTATTTTTAGCATTCGTGCTTTGCTTTTGGTTTTAGTTTGTATTTGAGTGTGGTGATATTGATAGCATAATGGTTTATCTATTCAAAGCTACAGGCTAGCACATCTCACTTTTCCTTGCTTTTAGATTGTACTGTAAGATATTACCCTACAGTTCTTTTCCTAAAATTCAGTTTACACTTAGGCTTTGCATTGAATTACAGTCCTTTTGTGGTACAGAGTAACTCTAGTCTTGTCTTATAATTTCATTCTGATGTTTGCTTGCTTCCAAACTAGATTATCTGTAAAAGTAAATAAGTAGTTTAAGTTGGTGTGGACATTCAGTTATGATTCTACATTAATTTTCTCAGTGGGCCCTTGAGAGAAGTTATTTTGGATTGGCAATTACATGTATAATTACACAGACTATTACAAACCATACAGGCACCTCACTTATTGATACAGACAGTGTTGTAGATCCAGCTGTGCATCTGTGTGGCTGAACGTATTTTCGATAAATTTTTTCTGTAATGATGGTGGGTGAAAATTAATTCATATTCCTCATGTTGATTCTGCATGAGGATATGCAACCTTTCAAGCATGTACTTTGGAAGTAATAACATGGATTGCTTTTACCTGGTTCCATTTACATTATTGAGATATAATCAATTTGTCCACAAAATTTTTCATTAACTTTTAACAAGTCAAATGTGTTTGGCATCCTGAGGTCTTATTTGGACAACGGGTCACAGGTGCTAAAGACAGAATAGGTAAAACTTTTTTCTGCAGTGCTTTTTTCCTAAAACAGAAAGACCAGCTCTCAGAAATAACTGTGAAAACTTGTGAGCGGCCAATGTTTGTCCCTGGGAGAAAATTTGCAGAAGCTTTTCTAAACTTGAATGAGCCAGATAGCAGTGCATATTTGCAGGAGTGGACTTTGATATGCTGTACCCTTTGTAGGGAGGGCAATGTCTCTTGTCATCTGAAAATGTTCACATGTGAGATTTCAGAGATCCACGCTGCAGGTGCAGAAGGGATAAACAGTACTGGAAATGCAAATCTCAGACAGCTATAAGATGTAGATTAAAACAAGTAATTCATACAGAAAACGCAATACAAAGTTTAAAATAAAAGAGGAGAAGAATGCAAAGCTGCTACAGAAAGGTCTTAGCTTAAATACTTTCAAAACTACTACATCTTCTGTTCTCCTGAAATGATTATTTCAGGATGTCTTTGCAAGCCTTTTTCATTGTCCCCTCACTGGGAGGCTGCTGGCCTGTGCAAATGACAGTAAAATGTCAGATAGAAGTGACTTGAGGAGAGAAGTGAAAACAGGGTAAGACGTACCTTTCAGAACATAAGTTGGCAAACTTGCTTCTTGGCAGATGCCCTATAAACAGAATTGCCCACCGGGAATTAGATTTTATTAAGAAATCAATTTTTTTAATTACAAAAAGAAATGTGATGTCTATCTTATTTTTATCTTCTAGATAAGATATGTGATCAGATAAGTGATGCTGTTGTAGATGCTCATCTCAGTATTGATCCAGATGCCAAGGTTGCCTGTGGTAAGTACAATCCAGACAGAAAAACAGATTAATGAAGTACAGCAAGTAGTCGATATTAGTATAGTATCCTTTGATCCAAAATTCTTCCAATAGCTGGCTGTCAGTCAAGATTTCCACAGTCATTCAAGAGGCCAGCTTTGGCTCACTGATTCAGAGGAGAAGAGAAGGCAGGAAAAACCTGCAAAAAAATGAACAGAAATACACGTGGCTCAGTGCAAATTAAAAGTGATGAAATGTAAGAAGTAGAGCAGGAGAAGCCATTGGTATCAGGGAAAACTGCAGTTGTCAAAGATGATAATAAAGAGGACACTAAGAAAATCAGGGAAAAAAAGAACTGAGGAAAGATACATGTCAAGGTGCACGTCTTTATAGAGCGAATACGGAGGTGCCCGCTGTTCACAGAAGGATAAGTTCATTTGAATGTGATTCTGATCAAAGTGGCTTGCTTTTTTTGTGGGACTTTCCATTAGGACTATGCTGTATTCTGCATATATTAGCAATATCACCCACAAAGGCTGTGAACATATTATCCAGTTGGAATAAGCTGGGTTGCCACAGAGGAATACACACAGAAAGGGAATGTGTCTAAAGAGCTTTCCAAATACCGTAATTTTATTTTTAGAACAAGCCATCAAGGCCATAGTTACAGCGCAGAGGACTAGCTGCATCCCATAAACTCGGTGATCTAATATGACACTCCATCTGAAAAATTTCATGTGAACCTTGATGCATAGATGTGAGCAGTGAGGAGATGTGGAGGGAGGGGTTAGCATAAGTGTTAGACTTGATGAAGGGTGTATTTCAATATTGCAGGCAGTTATGGTTCCAAAACTGCTGAAAAGTTGAAGATGGTAACATAGGAATGCTGCAAAAATAACAATGAGAAACGTGATAAGAGATGTGAGAAACACCATCAGTTTGTCTTACCAAGACAGCAGACTGAGATGTGACATAATTACATAGATAGTAGGTCATATTGTCATAGTAAATTTTTTTGTCATTGTTTGCTATGTGTTTTTACATAAAATGGAAAAGTTTGGAAACCAAATGGACTCTTGAAAGAAACAAAGAAATAAAATACGAAGTGATTCTGCGCAAAATTTGCGATGAAATTGCACTGCTGCTTGCTCCAGGATCTTGTAGAAGCTAAAAGTTTTTGTGGTTGCCAAGGGCAACTGGATGAATTATGGTAACAAAAATATATCAAAGACTGGTAAAACCATCTGTTAATAAATGATGTCCCTTTAGCTTCAGGAAAATTCTGACCTGAAACTGTTGAAGACCAGACAATTACTTGGAGAAACAGCCAATACTTGATCTATTCTTATAAATATTTTCTCCTGACCAGTGTGGAGATAGGATAATTGGGTACAGGGGATCCCCACCACCTGCAGGCATTTAAATGTTCATATCAGATGAAGAGTGATTGCACACAGACCTTTAGGTATAAGGCTAAGGCTTTACACTGAGTTTCCCCTATGATTAGTCCTTTGCTTATAGAACCATCTTCAGGATCTCTTTGTGTGACTTAAAATAGTAGCAGTAAAATTCTGATGTTTCATATTTTCTCCAGAGTGTGTAGCAAAAACTGGAATGATTTTGCTCTGTGGAGAGATCACATCCCGGGCTATAGTAGATTACCAAAAAATTGTAAGAGACACCCTTAAGAGGATAGGATATGATGACTCTTCCAAAGGTGAGTGAGATCCTACATGTGTTCATTCTTAAGTCTGTTCTGCATGTGGCCAAAGTCATGTTCTTAATGGTCTTCTGGAGAATGAAGTGAAATATGTATTCAGGCCTAGGAGAAAACTCACAGATATTGTTGATACATAATTTTCAGTGTGTAGTATTGAGGGAGCTATTTTAAGGTGGCATACTTATAAAAGACTTATTCTTGAAAGAGCCAGGTATCTCTTGCTCCTCTGATGCAGAAGAGCTGGGTTTTGCACATATGTCAGAAGGTGGGTGCATCTGTAGGTTTGTGCTATGAAAGCTTTAACACTGGTGTTACTTGTCCTTGGGGTGCATAAGCCTGTGACACTTGAAGTTCACACAAATGGGAATTCTTTATGTATTCTTAACATATATCCCAAAGTAGTTTCCTTTCAGCAGTTGAAACATTTATGTGACTATTTCCCTTCAGTCTTCCCTTTTCATGCATGATATATACATTTTTTTCTCTAATTCTATTAAATCCTAGAACATACTACAAGAAAAACTGAATACTGGTTTCTGGTAACATTTTCCACACTCCTCTCCCAGATTTAATAGCAAATGGTTTGAACCCTAATAATAATAAACAATGTAACAAGCTTTGGTGGGGCAGCTTGTAAGATTACACTTATCCTGTCAGTTTCAAGATTTCAAGTTTGACCTAATAGCACTAACTTTCCCATATCCTGGAGCTGTTATATAAATGTGCTGATTGTCTGCTTCTGTTGGCAATAAAAAAAATGTAGTAAAGGAAGTTTACGTGCTTAGAGTTTTGAAAGTTTTAGCCAAGATAACTAGATAATCCTTAAAAACTTCTCTAGCAATTTGTGAACTCCCGGGAATGTATGACCTAACTTCCAAAAACTCCCTTCACTAGGACTGGACTATAAGACTTGCACAGTTTTAGTGGCCTTGGAACAGCAGTGTAAAGAGATCAAGGATGCTATCTCCCATGGCAAGTGTGATGATGACATTGGAGCAGGGGATCAGGTAATTCCAGGAACTTACTAAAATCTAGTTCATGTGCAAGCAATTGCAATTACATTGGACCGGAGGCTTTCCTTAAAAACTATTGTGCAAACTGTAAGAATTAGAACTCTTTTAATCACCAGAAGTGCAAAAAAGTATCACAGCCTCCACTAGTTTCAAGGAAAGTGGCTTTCCCTGTATCCAGTGGCCTTAATGGGGTAGAGTTACAATTTCATTTTTATCAGTTGTTTAGTTTCTAGTCTTTCAAGTCCTTGGTTAGTATTTACTGGTTTTACTTCTTAGGCAACAACTGCTGTGAGATTTCGGTTGTCATGTGTGGGGGGAAGACTAAGTAGTCCTAATGAGCTTTATGTGTATGAAGACTTGGAAGAGGGAACTTATGGATTTTTAAGGCAGAACCATTCTTGGGAACCAGCCCCTGCTGTGGCTTTGATTTTTGCACATAAATGTTATTTCAGGCTGGTTATATGTCAAAGGGTATTAACTCTGCACGTTGCTGCTGTCTCTTGCTAAGCTTGGGTGATTTTAAAGTACTATGTGGCAAAGACAAGTGCAGAAATGGAAAGAGAACATGGAAATGAGTAGCTTATTTTCCCATTTTTCAATGCAGTTCCCTGTTTTTCAATGTAGGGTTTGATGTTTGGCTATGCCACTGATGAAACTGAGGAATGTATGCCTTTAACAATCCTCCTGGCACACAAACTAACTGCAACTATAAGGGCTCTGGAACGGAATGGAACATGGCCTTGGGTTAGACCAGATGGCAAAACGCAGGTTTGTAACATAGATGCATAAACTGTAAAGGTGAGAAACAATAGCAATCATTTACCCCATGTGCTACTATATCAGAATTCATGTTTGTCAAAAATGGTGCTGTCATTATTATGATCCAAGGAGGTGTGAGTTTCATAAGGTACATTTGTATGTAGCACATATGATTTGTTTAAACTGTTCTGTCAGTGTCTTAGCAGGTCTCCTCAAAACAATACTTGTATTTTCCTTCTTTCCCCCCTGGATATTAAGAATATCAGCAAATTACCAATGATCAGCTGGATTTTTTTTTTCCTGAGCAAATATAACCACTGACAGCTGTGTTGCAGAGCTGAGTGGATGAGTCACTGAGCCTATTGTAAGTGTGATGCACTTTGGATGTCTCAAAGACAGTAAGTTCTGTCTTCCAGGCTGTAAAATCTGCAGGAAAGGAAAGGAAAGTCATACATGTGGCATTTCTAAGACAGTAAGATGTTTTAGTCTTAAGTTCTAGTTTGGAACTGCATTGGGTTATACTGCTGCTGTTGTTGCAGTATAACATGGATTTAATCCCTACATCTTGACAGGACTATGTGAACATGTGAATAAGCTGATTTCTTTATGATCTACCTATTCGAGCATGTCTGAAGGGTGGGAAAGTAGAGAAACCACCTTAGTCTGTAAGAAAACAGATACTAAGAGTGAAGCAATGCCAGTTAATATTTGCATGTACATAAAAGCCATGTACAATGGTTAGGAGCAAAGGATACAGCCTATCATCTGATCTACAGTTATTCATTTTAGCAGGGTTCTCTGAAATTTATTTATGCTTTACTTTGGTAATCTACTATCTGAAATTAGGTTAACATACCAAATCATGAATGATTTTACCATCATAGGTAAAATCATAGGATTTTGTAACTTCCTTGTTATTTTGCTTTTCTGTGGCAATATGTAATGTCCTTTAGTTAGTTCTTCTGGTAGTAGTACTTCAGTATTTTCTGTATTTCTTTTTCCTTACAATGACTTTAAGCATTGACAGCAATGCATCATTTTTCATCCCATTTCTCTTCACCTGTTTATTTTTGGCTGCAGAAAATAGCTGAGGTTCATTTGCAGCTTTCAGACTGGTTCTTTTGGCCCTGAGTGTTCACTGTCCTTTTTTTTTTCTCACCAGGTCACAATGGAATACAAGGAGTGTAATGGCACACTGGAGCCCATCCGAGTGCACACACTGGTGATTTCAGTAAATCATGCCCCAGACATAACACTGCAACAAATACGGGAGGAGCTAATGGAGAAAGTTGTTAAAAAAGTCATTCCAGAGAAGTATCTTGATGAGGACACCATTTATCATCTCCTTCCAAGTGAAAAGTTTGTAGAAGGTGGTCCTAAGGTATGGTACTTTGAAAAATGATAAACTATACAGACTTGGATTCTACTTTGCCACATGCTTGTGAATGTTCTCTTAAACAATAGTAGAGTGAACTAGAATACTTTTAACCAAGAAAGTCTATACATTTTTAAGGAAGCTTCAGTCATCTCTACTGGAGTTTTTTTACTGGGCAGCTGGTACCTAAACTGAAGCTCTACCTGCTTTAACAGCCAAATGTACAAATTCTTGGATCTTTGTCTTGCTTCTAGAAAGTATTTTAAATGAGCAAAAGCCAGTCCTTAAGTTACATGCTAAAATGTCTGACTGGAACTATCTCTTCACTTTCACAATAAAAATCAAAACCAGAAATAACAATAGATCTAATATCTACATTGAAATTTGTAAAGTGGAACAAATTTCAAGGGAGGCCTAATGTATTAAGTCTCAATAATCATTGGAATTTGATGCATGTTCTGCTTACCATGTGCTGGTACTAGATAAGAAGGTCATTGCTGTGAAATTGTAAAAAAATTATGTTACAGAAAACTGTACAGTTTTGTATGAAGAGTTCACAAGAATTAAAACTGCAAGGTGTGCTTATGATGACCCTGGGATGATGTAGGGATACCCCTTTCAATGAGAAAAAAATGTCAGCTTTGCTCCCATATTACTTATTTGGAGATATAAAAATAGTGGATTAGTGCAGTTTGTCTTCTTTTAGGATGGAATTTCTCTGCACTCTGGAGTTCATTTATCAGCACACCATTGCCAACTTTGCTAATCTGACAGAGAGGCAGTAATTCTCTGCTGGTTGAGCAAGTTGGATCAGTTCATCAAGTTGTAGGAGGCAGAAAAAAGTCTATGCAAGAGTATGGGACTCCATTATCAGGAGCACAGGAATGAAGGAAGAAGAGCAGTATCACTTTTGTCACTACTGGACCACTAATATGAACTGAGCTAGAGTTTCTCAATACTCATGTTCTGACAGCACTGAGTTGCAGTTACATGAAGCTCCTGCTTCCCATTTAGTATGGGTATCTAAGTGAAGCTTGTTAACCTTTTAGGTCATATGTGACCTGCTTTTGTTGCTTTAAGTTCTTGGCCTTCATCAAAGTGTTGCTGAATGAAGACTTTGTCTGGTAACCCAGAAACACTATTGCTGATTTGAAGTGAGCTTTCTTTTTGTCATGTTTACAGTTGTGCCACATTTTTAAAGATTTTCAAAAGTGACTGTAGCCCAGACAGCTTAGTACATCTCTGAAAAATATTCCAGCCATGTAGAGAACTCTTCCATTAAACAGTTGCATGCGAATGTGAACACTGTGAACAGAGTCATATCTGCACTGTTTGGCAATTACCAAACAAAGCTATACCCACTAACCTAATATGGGATTGGATGAACTATTGTGTCTCTGAATATACTCAGTTATTTGTCCTTCAGACTGATGCTGGACTGACTGGTCGGAAGATCATTGTTGATACATACGGAGGCTGGGGAGCCCATGGTGGAGGTGCATTCTCTGGGAAAGATCCATCCAAAGTTGATCGTTCTGCAGCCTATGCAGCTCGCTGGATTGCAAAATCTCTAGTGAAAGCTGGTCTCTGTAAAAGGGTATTAATCCAGGTAAGACAATCCATGAAAGTAATACACTAAATTCTGAGACATTCCGGCCTGGGCTGCACAGCACATTGCAGTTATGGTAGCACTGTCTAGGTGTAGTTCTGCAACTTGCTGTATTACATGAGCATATTGGTTGTAACTTAATCCATTTTAAACCGCATTTGAAATTACATTCACAATCCTAGTACACTGCTATGGTGTGAGCTGTGATTAAAAGCAAAATTCACTTGTTTTAAAGAATTTAAAGCAAGAACAACCTTCATTAGTCTTGTATGCTCAGAACAAAATGCACTTCTTTCCTTGTGCAGGAATTTTTGTTATTACTATGTCTAAAAAGCAGAAGGAGGTGTTTTATTGACACCTAGACAGTTTCACCATTAAACATGAACCCAATGTGACTGTTAAACAAGTGAAGTTTGCCTAGGCAGTTTGCAACACTAGTTTACACACATACTCTTTCTGAGTAGCTGCTACATAATAACTCATTACACAACTCATTTACTAAATAAGTAAAATGTAGCAGCAATCTGGCTGATGTTTTGCTGCAGAGGTGTGTTTAAAACATTTTACTTTCTCTGTGGACCAAAAGAAAAGCCCACTGGATGTAGTTATGATCCATGACATAAGTATCCAGACATTCCAATTAGGAACAAGGCTCCTTGCTTTAGATGTTGTGCATGTGTTTGATACCTGATAGTTTGGAGTTAGTCAGGAAAAGGCGAGGCTAAGAAAAAGCCGGGCTCAAAGAAGTGTTGGTTAGCCAGTTGTTGATAATTTTTTTTTTCTGAGGGGACAGAAGATAAACTTCTGATTTCTTGGTATGCACATTTTGAGGGTCATTTTTGAACACCTACATCACTGCCTCTATTTTTGAGTTAGGTGGGAATGTTGTCATTCCAGTAGTTCTCAGAGACCTTCTCCCACGCATGAACCTTTCTCTAGACAAGGCAAGTTTGATTTTTTTAACAGCAAATTATGGAGATCTCAGATATTAGCAAAGAAGATAAGATGGGAGGATGGGAGAACAGAGAAGCCAATGTCCTGCAAAGTCATGGAGGGCTGGATTAAAGATTAATGAAAGGAAAAATGTATGGACTGGAAACGCAAAAGTGTTTTCGGCCCATTAATAGCTGTGTGCTACGCTGAGACTTTGCCAGCCTCCACTGAGGTTGACAACTGTTTTTCCTATGGATATTGTTTACATGCTAACCAACTTTCATACTGAAAGGGCAACACAGATAATAGAGGGAACTGCATGAAGAATGGCAGTACCCGAGAAGGACACAAAGTACCTCTTTTGCTTTAAAGGAATGTCACTCAGGTCTGGTATTTGACCTGGCTTAACATTCTCTGAGGAAATCATAATTTTCTAACATAAAAGACAAATTGCAAAAACATATCCCCTGGTTTCCTTTATGGAACAAGATGTTCATAAACAACCCTGATACATGTGATAAGCCTTTCCTTTCTCTTAAGCAAAAAGTAGGAAGGACTGTGTTAATCATATATGGGTTGTTTGCATGTGTCCTACAGCTATCATATGCTATCGGTCTCAGTCGTCCTCTTGCGATCTCAGTGTTTCATTATGGAACATCAGACAGATCTGAAGAAGAACTGCTTGAAATCGTCCAGAAAAACTTTGATCTGCGCCTTGGAGCTATCATAAGGTTTGTGTGATGTTAGTATTTACTGTATGGAATCATGGTTTTAATGCTCTCTTTAGCAGTTTAATGTTTAATTTTCTCAAGACAGTCACCTTTGTCATAAATCGCTAATTGGTATAATTTCTGCTCTTCCTTCATCCATGCTCCCAGCACAACATAAAAGGGCCAATTGATAAATCTAGTCACAAAATGCACTGAATAGCTAAGACCTGCCTAAATTACACCATGTATGTCTACACGCAACCCTGACCGTGAATTATGTTGCAATTCATTAGCCAGGCAGTAGTTTGCTTGGTAAAGTAGAATTAAAGTTTAACATAAGATGTAGTTAGGCTTTCCAGTTTGTTTACGGGGTGTGTAAGGCTCCAAATCACTGCCTTATCTGAAAGGCAACAGAAATATTGGCTCTTTCTGAAAGAAGTACTGAGGTAAGTATGGTCTCCGTGCCTTTGATGTTCAGGTGGCAACAACTTATGAGGCAGCTGCAAGGAGACGGAAAGGCTCTGGTGCTCTCATGTCACGAGCAATCCTGTTGAAATGAGTGGGACATTACGTGCAGTAATTTGCCCTGGCACACGCAGAAGGAAACTGAACACTGAGAGCCTGTCTCTGGTTGCCATGCAGTTTTGTGCAGCCTGTTTGAAGTCAACTAAACCTAACTAAAAAGGAATCCAGGTTTCTTACATGCTCTCTTGGGATTTGGTAACTGAACTATTGTGTGAATTTAAAACCACAACAAGAATAGCCATGAGATGAACTGTCTTGAAGGCAAAATTCAGTCGTGATCAAATGAGGCTACCGTGCAATCAGAGAGGACATGCAAAGCCAAACCTAATAACTGTTGCCTTTTGCAGCCCACCTTTTCCAGAATATTAACAGACCTGAAAAAGCAGGTCTTTTAGTCTAATATAATCCTTACACATAAAGAAGCATGGGAATTACTCTTTTCTTCGAGAGAAGAAAGGGCTGGAGGAGAGAATCAGATCAGCACCTGTCCTTATCATCAGTTACTCACCTGCATTCCAGTGAGCTGTAATTTGACCTGAGCATTTTTCATTGACTTTTCTCCCATTTATGACTAACTTATATGATTCTTTATGTGAACTTTTAAAAGGCACAGTTTTCTTGCCTATTTATAGTACAGCTTCCTAAGACCTAATGGTAAAGGTTCATCTTCTCAGTCCTGACAAACTTCCTGATCTCTTGTCTGATTTTCACCAAACCTGTCCTCTTAAAAGTTTTGTGAAATACACAACTAGTGGAGAGAAACTAATGGAAACACTATAGCTTTTCTCTTTTAAGGGAGCATCACATTGTGAGTTCAACCCTTATTTTAAGTCTGTGAAATTGATATGGAGTTCAACCTGAGATAGATACCAGCAAGAACTTGAGTCCATGCAGACTTTGTCATTTTGAGCAATGCAGGTTTTAAAAGTTCTGTTCTAAAATGCTGAAACATATATATTAGCTATCTCACTATTTGAGAAAAATGCTTTTAGTGACTCACTTAAGATCATTCAAGTCTCTATATTCCAGAGCAATCTTGAGCATATTTGACTCTGAGGGAAAAAAATATCAATATGTTAGTGAATAAGAGGTCTCTTTTTTCCCTTAAAAAGGAAAGACATTTCTGACAAGCTATATCAACTGATATGGTCAGCCTTTTGCATTCCTTTTCAGAGTATGGAATACATATGCTGAGGCCAGAGCTGACTTATTATTTTAATAGTCTGAGATAATGTGAGGTATTATGGCAACTTCTATTGATGTTTTCCAAGTGTTATCAGTTCACAAATACAATCAAAACTGTTCTTTAACTTTGTCATTATGGTAGTTCATCACTAACAATAATTTGTGTCATGATTCCCAGACGTTTACCTTGATTTGTTGGGTTAAAAAATGCTGCATTTTAAAAATACACACAGTCCTGGAAGTGGTGAAGGCAGTAGGAAAGGAAGAAAGCTGGCAAAACCATGAGCATCATTGAGTGAATATTTCCTTGTTAAACATCGCCTCACAATATTTGAAATCCTGGAAGTGGTACTGGCTAGCCGTTCTAGTCAACTATTCATTGACATACTTTTCACTTAGTCAGCACTCATATTTTGACGCCTTCTGGCTTAGGGTCAAGCACAAATGACTACTACAGTAGCCATTGCAGAATGTGACTATGTTGCACAAATTATTACTTGAAGCAAGACATAGCTGCTCTATGTCATAAATGTCCACATAAGTGTGAGAATGTGTGATCTCTTCACCATCTGAAATGCACTGACTATCCTATTGGTTTTTGTACTTCTTACTTTGTCATTTTTCCACTACCTTTCTCTCCAGCAGTTTACAATATGAATCGTCTATTCTAAATGTGCTTTCAAAGATAACTAAAGCAAGATAATACAATAGAAAAAAGCCCAAGCAGATGAAAATATTTCAGGCCTTTCATGAAACAAAGAGAAACTTCTATGTAGATACTGGTAACCAACTATTTAGCACAGCTGCTGTCCGCTATATTATACAGGCTAAAAAGCACTTCCACCTTCATTATTTATGTAGTTATAATTATGTCATCTTAAGCCCTACTCTAAATAGTGACTTAGTGTATCTACATAAGCAGTTAAACCTCCACAGGTACCTAGTCTACTAGATCATCATCTTTGGCAGCTTCTTTTGAATTCATTTTCTTTCTGGCCCAGTAACATTAGAAAATGTCCCATATTACGCTTGAAATAACAGAAGACACATTAATGCTTGCCCAGGTATAGCTGGACTTGGTTCCGATTAAAATGCTTCTGCATCGTAATGTTTATAAAGCCTAACTGCATTCTTACTGCACCTCTGAGACAGTGGAAGACACCTGGCTATTTCTAGTCACTTTAAAATTGAAACCGTCAGCTCACTGTCTTTCTTTCTGCAAATCTGTGTGGGGAAGGAAATGACACCAAGGTTTTACTGCCATTCTCCTGGGGATGATACTGATTATGCTTCTGATATTTCCAGATCATAATGTACGTTGGAGTGGAGATAAGTGTAAGAATCACTTTTATTTTTTTTCTTTTCATTTAGGGAGCTGGATTTGAAGAGGCCAATCTACCAAAAAACGGCATGCTATGGGCACTTTGGAAGAGAAGAATTTACATGGGAAATACCCAAAAAGCTTGTGTTTTAAGCTTTTCAAAACATTTCATATTATTGACAGGGGGCTTAATAACCAGGTAAAACTTTAAGCAGTTCAAGAAAAGACTGTATGTACACTTAAATGACATTCTGTAGTTAATAGACATACTGAAAATGATTTGTATTTGATTTCTAACTTTCATAGTGGCCTTACACTTCAAATGCATGTGGCTCTATCTAATACAGTCTTCAGCTTTGTCTTTGGTAATATGTGAACAATTTAGGCATTTGACTGTGATCAGATATAAAGTGCACAGATGGCTGTGGAAGTTGATGCCATTCCTATTCTGCCAGGGCAGCCCACTATTGCTTACCCAGTTAAATTTGTACTGAAGACTATGAAGTTGGAAAGGTAACTTCAAGAGCTCCCCGTGAGAGGAAAGCAGAAATAGCATGAACTACCATAGTTATTTGGGCCAGGTCTTCCAAGACTATAGCTTTAGTTTAAGTGCTTTAATAAAGTTTAAGCAAATTAGTAAAAATACCCATTTCTTCTCATTGGTCACTATAACCCTAAAAATACCTAGCTATAAGGCAGTGTTATTTGTTTGCTTTTAACATTACATATCTGTGAAAACTGATGAACTCCTATGTTGTAATTCTTTTATTCATTTATAGTTACTCCTTCTCAAACTTGAATTTTCCATATCTGCATGAATTGGAATTGGCTGCATAAATTTTCAATTAAGTTTAATTTGGCAACTTCTGAAATGTAAAAAAAAATGTTGTAAAAAGCACTTGGAGGACATGACTTTCCTTTTAATTCTCTGGATGAAAACATAAATGGAGAGAGAGAATGCAAAATCATTTAGCTTTTCTTCAAGGATTAGAGAGAATGAAAAGACTTGTATATGGAAATTAACAATTCTGACAAGCAAATTTATCATTAAATTGGTAACTAAGACAGAATGTTGGAATGATGTAGCTACTCTTAATACCAGGGAGTTTTGATAGACAACTAAGCAATAAGGTTACCTCACCCCTGTTAGGGGAAAAATAAAGGCTTCAGTGATAAGTCTAATCAAATGCAAGTAGTTGAATATAACATTAGTCTCAAGCAAGTTTCAAAAAGCTGCTTCCTTTCCTGCAAAGACTGGTCAATCCATTGCTCCTTGGATAGACCGGAGCTGAAGTGAGGTCACTGTACAACTGTACCTGTGTCTCACCTGGCCTGGTGCAGTTAACCCAATCTAGCACAGTAACTGCTGCAGTCCTTGTGACCTACAGATGAGGCACTTATTTTTTTCCATTAGAAAACCAAATGCATTCTTTTGTGGGCATTTTTTCCTTTTTTTTTTTTTATTTAATGACAATTTTCCTTTTTATCACAGGAGCCTGGACCTTATCTTTGCCTGAAACGAATCCCATTTAGTATGCATATGGCCTTGTAGGCATAAAGCATAGCATTAAACTTCATTAGAATTTGCTCAAATCGGTATTTTCTAGGAAATAGTAATGCAGCTTGCTAATTCTGAAATGTCAAAATAATAAAATATTAAAAAACATTTTAATAAAATAGTGGTACAAAGTTTAAATGGCAAGGGATTGCAGAGATCACTATACACTGAACTGATAGGAATTTCAGTAAATGGGCATATAGTCTCAATTTTACAACTATCTCAATTTCACTGTCATAATACTTCACCCTTCCAAAGTTAAACAGAGCTTTGTTAAGAAGCTGTGATGCTTTGTTTCTCATGGAAGAAGAGCATTTTGATAAAATGTCTTTTGTTAAATTGAATGAGGAAATTATTTGTTCAATGGAGGTGTCTGTTAATCACTGCTCACTGTCAAACAAACAAAACACAAACAAGCCCACACAAAACCTCCACGGTGTACTTCAGACATTAAGAACACATTCCTGCAAGACTTCTTTCACCTCGCTTTCTGACTTCAAAGTTGAAGACATTTTCTTCAAGGAATTGGATAGACTACCAAACTTTCCTTCCCTTTGTCATTGATTGGTGTTCCAAAGTAGCCAGGAGTACCACCTGCTGAAGAAATCCCTAAATACAGATTGGAACAGGTACAGTGTACATTCAGTCTCTAGAGATCCTGTCTAAAAATTTTAGTGAATTTTCTAATGACTAGTGAATTAATTTTATTTATAGAGGGTAGCTAATTTGCCCTATGTAAAAAAATTCCTAAAAAACAGGAAAAAAAATATGCCTTGTTTGAAACTAGCAGATAGAGAAAAGATACCCCTGCTAAGTTTGTAGTGTCTAGTCCAAAGCCAGACACAAAACTACTGCTCCACAAAACCAGTGAAATAATCTTTTTTTGAATGATTGGTGTGTTCTCTCCTTACCATTCTGGAAAAGAATGACTTAAACTAGAACCTCAACTATAAAAAAGGGTTCCCAAATCACACATAAGCTTTAAGATGGCAGATAGCTGAAAAAGTAGCTAAATTCAAATGTAACCTCCATCCAGGTATCAATTGAAATTTATTTATTTATTTATTTATTTATTAAACTTGCTGTTTTAATATAAAATGAATAGGGTCTTATTTGAAATATGTGGTTACAATATATTATAAAAATCTCCCAATATATAGCAGGTCATAATCTGCATAAGAAAAAAATTGTAAAAGCACATCAGAAGAAGAACACAACAGTTTATGCACTGTGTTTTGCAACTTCATCCACAGTAGCAGGCTGTACAGATATTCAGCTAATACAAAGAGCTGCATGAATGAAAAATTTGTACTGCACAAGATTATTTGGGTGTAACATGTGGAGGTATTAGTGGCTGTTCTGAAAAAGAGCTTTTTCAAACAATGAGTTTGCGTAGGCACTTCCCGAAGATGGTTATTCTTGCTGAATTGTGTGAGACAGAATTAAGCCTAAATCTTTCAAAAGGGCATGGTTTCACTCAAACCTAGAACAGGCAATTAGGAAAGAAAATGAATGGACAGAAGTGCCAGCTTGGCTGTAAAAGTGCCTTTTGTGTATTTCTGACCTCAGAAGAAATGGAGGGTCTCTGCATGCAAAATGAAGATATTAAATTAAGAAAGGTCAAACTTTTGTTTGCTTTGTGTGAGGATTAGTTTTATGACTCATGCTTTCAGAGTATATCACAAGTGCAGTTGCACTAAAAAATACAAACATTGAAGAAGTATTTAATCTTCTCTCTGAGATGTACTTCTAAAATAGATTTTCATCTGCTGAACCTAATGAACCCTATATGGAACTACGGAGATGTTATTTTATGCTCCGTTTTTCTAGTTATATTTTGGATAAATGCAAAATAGAATGCGAATTCAGTGCTATTTAATTAATTTAATCCCTAAGAAGCTGAAAGCAATTACTGGAATGAAAATTAAAGGGCATATCTTTATTATGTACTAATAGATGGAAGGAACTTTTCGTTTATGGCACCCCAGTTTATGGCTCTGCCCTGTCTTGACCTTATGACACAAAAGAAAATTCCTTCTTTACCACCTTCCCCAGCTAAGATTTTTGGCCAGAACTACTCGTGGTTCATTCTGAGTGAAGCTGTAGAAGGAAGAGCACTAGATGAGAGTTAAAATGGGAAGGCTGGAGCACAGCTCCACAATCGTGCTGCAGCCCGGTGTGGTGGTCAGAACTGGAATGCAAACTAGTAACAGTGGAACAGGAATGCAAACTAGGCACAACCTTGTTTTCCTCTGCTTTTCAACAGGAATTATGCCGGCATATAAACGGATAAACCTTTCCACCTTTAACAACTTTAAAAAAATGAAAAAAAAAAAATCCATAGGCCTCTCCAGAGAAGCGCTTGGACAATGCTCATGAGTGTGACTCTTGAGCAGGGTTCCTGTGCAGGGCTCCATGATCCTTATCGGTCCCTTCCAAGTCGGCATATTGTGTGATTGTTAGGGCGAAACGCCGCGGGCAGCAGGGCGAGAGGGCGAGCTGCTCTTCCCGCGGCCACCGGGAGCGGGAGTAGGAAGGGGAGCGGGAGTTCTCTCGGGCTCGGGAGCGCGCTCGGTCTCGGGAAGGGTCTCGGGAACGGGAGCGCGCCCGGGCTCAGGCTCGGGCGCGCGCTCGGGCGCGTTCCCGCCGCGGGGCGGGGCCGGCGCGGGGAGGGGCGGTGCCCGGAGCGCGTAAATGACGCAGCGGCCCCGGAAGCCGCCGGGAGCGGAGTGAAGGGCGGCCGCACAGACGGCCCGGCAGGCGTAGGGGTCTCGCCGCCGCTGCCCGTAGCTCGGCGGAGCCGCCCCGCCGGCCACCGCCGCCCCCGTCCTCCCCGTCCCCCGTGCCATCCCGCTCCTGCGCGCCCGGCCGCCGCCGGGCAGTGCCTGCCGGGGGCCATGTCGCTCCTCCAGTCCGCCCTGGACTTCCTGGCGGGCCCTGGCTCCCTGGGGGCCGCCAGCCGCGACCAGAACGATTTCGTGGGGCAGACGGTGGAGATGGGCGAGATGAAGCTGCGCATCAAGCGGGTCATCGCGGAGGGTGAGAGCGGGCGGCGGCCGCGCCGGGCCGTGCGGGGCGGACTCCGGCGCTGCGGGGCCGGGACGGGCTTCGCGAAGGGCCTCCCGCTCCCCTTTCCCCCTCTCCCCTTCCTGGACAGGGAGGGTTCCTCCTGGGCAGGCCGCGCCCTGGTGGGGGCGGGCGGGCGGCGGCCGGGATGGAGCGTTCCGGCCCCTGGGAAGGGCCGGTTCCCTCCGGGGGTCCCCGGCGCCTGCCGCTGCCACGGGGGTGTTTCCCGAGGCCCGGCTGTGGGAGCCCTGCTTGGTGTTATTGTCCCGCTTCAGGACACGGAAGCCACGGAGCACTGGTGTGTTGTGTGGCCGCTTCTTCGCTTGCTTTGTGGTTTTAAATGCTTTTACCGCGTAACAGAACTCAGAGGAGTTTATAATCTGCCAAGGACCTCGTGGGAATACTGGGTTGCATGGGTTTTTTTTTTTTTTTTAGTTTGCTGTTGTTTGATTTTGTTTGTTTTGTTTTGGTTTTCTTTTTTTTTTTTAATGACAACGTATGAATAGTATGCCAAAGGTGCTAGTTTGCCTGTGTTGCTTTGGGTTGTTCGAAAGACTGTGAAATGCAGGAAAACATGTTTGCTTTAAACACTCGTGTCAGGAGGCTGATCTCACTGTGCACATAGACTTTGCTAGAGTACAGGAATTGAATGCCTGGGCAGTTTTCAGTTTCGTTGAATTTTTGGGTAGGTATCCTGGCACACCGCTTGCCAGTCTGTTTTAGAATGGGTGCTGTGTTTGGTGTGTGCAAATTACTTAGATAATAGCAGAAATTTGGATCTTCTTGTGCTTGTGATCAGAGAAATTACTTTATTTCCTCAAGCAGAAGAGCCACCAAAAGCTAGTCTCAAAAGACTAAAATGTGAACTTGTCCATCCTAATGCAGTTAAATATTACCTTTGTACAGGTAGTTGGTGTTATTTAGGTTAAATACTGCAAAGCTCTATTCAGAGCTCCTTTTCGTTATTGGAGTTACTTTCTGTAATTTCTTCTTGGAATTGTCTGGTATTTAAGTAGTTTTTTTTGAAACCTTGGTGATCTGCATGGAAGAAAAATTTGATTCTTTAAGATTGGCTACTTCAAACTACTTACAAGCTCCTTACAAAAGCTTAGTGGTGTAAAACAACAGGAAACTGGTCTTCACCATTGCTTTAATTTGTCATTTGAATGCTTAAGCACTTTTGGCATATGAGCTTAGACAGAACCTGGCAGTTTCTTACGCAGTAAGTTGCATTTAAAACAGTACTAAATGTCAAGTCCTATTTGGCCATCAGCCTTTACCTATGGCTTCTTTATGGTCAGAGTTGTGAGTGAAATGCAGGCACTCAGTATGGTGTGAATGCTAAAAGAACTGTCTGTGCTGCTGATACTGTAACATTATTGTGGGCGGTGACCACAGCAGTTTCCAAAGGACAAAGGAAAGTTAGGACAGGAAGCTACTTTTGAGGTATATCTGCTGTTTAGTTCTTGGTTCTGAAGCAAGTATTTCAATATTTATTTTGACAGCAGCCTACTGTTTCCCAGGATCTGGCACAGGCATTGTAAAATGTCAGGGGAAAGATGCCAGGTTACATGACTTAAAGCAAATGGGACTTGCTTTAACTCTGCTGTTCTTGACAATTTGTCTGTAACCACTGCTTCATGTTCCATGTTTGTCTCAGTATTATGGTTTCTTCTGTGTTGTGCCAGCTGAAGTTGGGCTTACCGCTTGCTTTTGCTAGAAAGTAAGATTTGCTAGCCAACATAGCTGGTGTAAAAGAACCCCTAGGGTCTTTGAGTAATAACATAAAATGGATATAAAATGTAGAAGTCCCAGCCTCTCCTGCTGTCTTCAGACTTGAATTTGTCTATAGCATATAGGTTATTTTGTTGCTGAAATTGCATTTATCTTTCATCTCTGAACCTGTGTGTGACACTTTCTGATACAACTGTGGCTTATAAGTATTCCCTTCCATGCTTACAAATACAGAATCTGTTTTTCTTCTAGATGAGTCCTTTCATGCCGAATTCCCTACTGGAAAGTCAAATGCTGCTTTCTGAATTTAGATTTCGCATCCACGGTGAACTGCGTGACATCTGCCAGTACAGAGAGGCGGCCCCTTCTGTAGGATCATAGGTTCTGCTTTGTTTGTAGCTGGTGTGAGCAGTGCCTGTGGCTTAGCATGGCACAGTATCCTGTGGCAGTACAGGTTCAGTTGTTCTTGTGCCCCACAGCTCCCTCCAGCCCTGTGGGATGCTGGCTGTTGGTGCTGATGCAGGTACATGTTTGGCTGTGCCATAAGCTGGGACTCGCTGCACAGTTCATTTGGATGTGTTTCTCTGCTCATTTTGCGGAGGTGCCATGCTACGAGTAGGACTGGGCTAGCTGCAAACATGGTGTGCTGCTGCAGGAGGCTGAGAGCAACCCAGGGGGGCGAGCTGGTGATAATCTCTAGCACTGATTCTACCTCTGAATGCAAGGGCAGACTAAGTGTGTCACAGGCTGGACTGAGCACTCCTAAAATATGGTATCCTGTTTTTTTTCTGCTTGAGCATTTCAGTAGCTCACTGCAGGTAAGAGATTTTAGAGGAAATTGATTGGGGTCTTTATGTATAATCCCTACTTGCCCTTTGTATGATGGTGGCTTCAGGGTGTCATGGCTCTTTTGGGTCCTCCAGTTAAGCACACAGACCACCACACAATTTTCCTTCAGTAAAATACTCACAGGTTGCATATCTAATTAGTAGATATTAGTAAATGTAGCTATCACATTTTATGAGAGAGGGCACTTTCTTGTATGGCCATAAGTCCCTGGTCAAGTCTAAGTAGTCTGTACTTGTCTCAATCCCAGCACGGGTGTCTGCTCTCACCAGAATGTTTGTGTACATGTAGTCCAGCTACATCTGAGCTCTCCAAATGCTTACTAACATGTTTGACTTTTTTAGGGTTAGGTGAGAGGGGCTTAAACTGTCACCTGTCAGATCCCTTACTATTCCCTTGCTATTCATGTGAACAGTGTGCATTTTATGCTGACTTTTTGTGTCTTCAGTGAACATTCTTGCCCTTTCAAGAATGTCAGGATTCACATATCAATCTGTACCAACTGGTTGAAGGACTGAGGTTGTCCATACTGATTCAATGATCAATGTAGCCTGCATGTTTGGCTCTG